TGACATTTTCACAATGTTCAATCTTCCTATCCATGAGCATGGGATGTTCTTCCATTTATGTAGATCTCTTATCTCTTATGAAGTAGTTTTTTATAGTTTTCTTTTGTATAGGTCTTTTGTATCTTTAAAAAAAAAAAAACTTAAAAAGAAAAGCACAACTAAGTGTAAAATCAGATCTAACATTGAATCCACTGCTGGGGATTGATGAGAAGATACATGATTTATCCAATGAAATCTTGTTAAAACTCCTTCCTACCTGAGGAATTACTGTTGTTGTTGTTATGAGCCGTCAAGTTGGCCCCTACTCATAAAGACCCCTCCTTGGGTGTCCGAGGCAGTATCATTACAAAAGTAGATTGCCCAACCTTCCTTCTGAGGAGTGGCTGGGGGTTTCAACGGCCAGCCTTCTGGTTAGCAGTCAAGTGCCTTAAGCACTACGCTACCAGAGCTGTAACAAACCAGTAGCTGCCGAGTCATTTCTGACTCATGTCAACCCCATGTGTTACAGAGTAGAACTGCTCCATAAGGTTTCAATAGCTGATTTTTGAGAAACAGATTGTCAGGCCTTTCTTCCAAGTGCCCCTGAGTGAATTCAAACCTTCAAACTTCCGGTTAGCAGCCGACTGCATTCACCACTTGCACCACCCAAGGACTCCATTAATTAAAGGGAGAGCCATATATTCTTTATGATTGACAAGCTGTGTGATCTTTTAGAAGAATAGATATATCTCAGATAGAACGTGTTTTTTATGAAGCTTACCACTTGTAGCATAGTGCCTAAGGCACTTGACTGCTAACCAGAAGGCTGGCAGTTCAAACCCACCAGCCACTCCTCTGAAGGAAGTTGGGCAATTTTCTTCTGTAGTGATACTGCCTCGGAAACCCAAGGAGGGGTCACTATGAGTCGTGTCCGACTCGACGGCACACAACAACAACAACCAATGTAAGTACTGAATATTTACAAATTCTCTGTGCAGATAAATAATGTTGTTGTTGTTATGTGCCATATATGCTAAATGTAAAATCTATTTCTTTATGTATTTTTTTGTGTGAAACCTTGTATCTAAGAGTACTCTCTATGTACTTTGTTTTGTCAAAAAAATCTGCCTTCTTAAGTTGAACTGCCCTCCATCGTTCTGTTCAGTAAGAAGATTTTAGTGCACAAAGGAGTTTAAAAGAATCAGGAAAAAAAAAAAAAAAAAAAAACCTCATGTGTTGGACTGAACTCACTTGAGTGAGATCCAAAGTTTCCAGTTTGGGGAGCAGATGTTCAAATGCCCAGAATGAGGCGGGTGGAGACAGAAAATGAGGTGTTAGAAAATATATGACTCAGGAGGAGAGCATGTTTTTCCAAGAGGGAAATGGCCTGGTTTCTCAGCCCCCAACGCCACAAACCCCAAGCGCTGGGCCTCTCTCTGCCAGCAGCAGGCCCAGGCACAGTAGGACGTGTGCGCGTTGCTAAGCAATGCCTCAGTCTTATCCCTGAGGAACTGGTCCTGTCCCTGCTTCAGGGCCCAACCACGATAGCTTGGGTGGGCACAGGGCCCTCCACACTGAGAGTGAGCAACTTTCCCTTGGGGCTATTACTGTATCCTAAGGGCTGAGAAGAGCTTTGTTAAGAATTGTTATTCATCAGAATTCCTTTGGAGGAGTTAGAATTTCTGTGAAGGAGAGAGGCTAAATCTGCGGGTTGGAGTCTTCTGGTAAATGACAATTGTTGTCTCTCTGGTGCTCCCTGGTGGCCCCTTGCAACAGCAGTTAATCCCACATGCTCCTATAGCCTTTACTCCCATAGACATTTGGCAAAACCCACTTTCCTAAAGTTTTATGATCCAGCTAGTTTGTATTTATAGCGCCAAAGCCGTGTAACTTATTGCAGCTTCTTCCTCTAATAAGAATTAATTTTGAGACAAGTATATAAGGAAAATCCAAAGTTTATAATTCCACACTTCAAATTTCTATTTTGTACAAATGTGCATGATGGAAGGTTGGGCAATCTACTTCTGTAGTGATAGTCTCAGGAACCCAAGGAGGGGTCGCTATGAGTGGGATCCGACTCCATGGCAGTGAGGGTTTCTTTCTTTCTTTCTTTTTTTTTTTTGTGTGGCATAGTGGTTAAGGCATTCACCTGCTAACCAAAAGGTTGGCAGTTTGAACCAACAACTGCACCACAAGACAAAGTTGTTTCCATAAAGATGTATAGCCTTGGAAACCATATGGGGTGGTTCTACCCTGCCTTCCAAGGTCGCTATGAGTAAGTAACTGAATGGCAGTGGGTTTGGGTTTTTTATATGATGATTAAGATATTATCCTCTGTGGAACAAAACAGATTTATTTATTTATTTATATTTTTGGTTAAGATATACACAGCAAAACACACCTCAATTCAACAATTTCTACATGTTCAATTCAGTGACATTGGTTACATTGTTCAAGTTATGACATGTTCTGGTTACCCAGTGCTGCTCTGATGAGGATATACCACAGATGGGAGGGCTTGAATAAACAGGAGTTTATCCTCTTAAGAGTTCAGGAGGCTGGAAGTCTCAGTTCAAAGTGCCAAGTTCTAGCGGTTGTGTGAAAGCCCCGCAACCTTGGGTTTCAGCTCTGCCTTTTGCTCCTGGCCCACTGAAGGCAGAAGCATCTCTTCACTCAGGCAGCTATTGGCTGCTGAGGTTAACAAACCCAAGGTCGACAAATACAGTGGCACAGTCCTGATGTTACCAAACCACATGGCAGGCCGTTAATTCAAGTCCATTGAAAGTCCCAAGGTCAGCAGAGCATGGCAGGCTGCTGAACAACAATTCGGCTACATGCAGGGTTCAAGTGTACCATAAGCTGGAGACCGTTCCCCAAAACTTCTCCTTATATACAGGAAGCAGACCACATCCCTCAGGCAGTTATTCAGCTGCTCACAGTAGATTCCATCATAGAGTTGATTACCAGTCTCATCATGGGGAATAACTACATCCAGCTGCCCATCCGCTCAAGCAAGGCCCAGCCAAGTTGACACACAAACTTAACCACCACATGCCAGATATTCTTTCTTTCTTTTTTTTTTTTTTTTTCAGATATTCTTTCTTGTTAATACTTTTTGGAATTGTTTCACCACCTTCAACATAAATTCACTGCCTCCTAGCATCTCATTTAACCTTTGCAGTTGCTGTTGTCAATTTGGTCTCATAATAATAATTCTTTAAAAGAACACGGGGCTCCAGGTAGACATTTTTTTCTACTTAAGCTAAACTCTTTTTTGGTATAGAGATGATTTCAAGGGATAGTTTTGGTTTAAGTTTTAAAGGTTGGTTTCAAAGGTTCATCCTGCCTCAGTGGCTCCAGAATGTCTGGATTTCTCAAAAATTTGCAGTTCTAAAACACATATATTTTTAACATTTGGTGTAAATGTTCTTCTCCAGCCATATTGTTCTGGGTGCACTTTCTTAAGGGGGTAGCTCTGAAATAGGCAGGCGGAGGGGAACCTCTGGGTTGAGAGTGACACACGATTCCTCCATTATAGCAGGCTGTGATATAAGAAACTTAACATTTCCATTTTACCAATACCTTCCCTATCTCTATCATTAGAAATGTACTAAAAGCTTATGGGATCTTATGCACCTTTTCTAGAAAGCAAAAAATGGAGAAAAGGGGCCACAGAAGGATCAGCTGTGGAAGGTTTTCCATCACCATTCAAGAAAAACCATGGCACCTATGTTCAGCTTGCAGTAAGTAGAAGGTCCTGGGGCCGCAGGGGCTCAGTCTTCAAGGCCCTTCTCCATGTGGTCTGCTCACAGTGGAAGCCAGCTTGCCACCTGCCACTCCACATAGCATTGCTCTAGATTGGAGTGTTGCGTGTTATATCGCTTAAGCAAAACATTAAAAAAAAAAAAAATCATGATTGAATAGATTTAAATAAGTTATGGCCTACTACAGTAAAGAGCCAATACATATTTCTGACTGTAATCACAGGTGCCCAGGGATGTACACACCAGGTGCCCTCAGTTCTCCTTGTCATCATCCTTCCACTATGATTCATAACTCTGCACCTGGTAAGGTTACCGGCCATGTGAGAGTTGGCTCTGAGTGGCACCAACTTGTCCATACACATTTCATACAAGCGGATAAAATTCAAGTTCAGAGGAGACTGAGGGAGCACCCAGAGCATAAATTCAATGGCTTTTAGTCATAGGATCTTTTTTCCAAAGATAGTTCAAGTAGAAAAAAAATCCCCTTGCAGAATTGCATTGGTGAAGATGTCAGGCAAAAGGCCTGCTTGCATAGGCAGCTCCTAAGCTGGACAACTCCTACCGGAGCCTGATCGACCAGGCTATACAGGGAACAGACCAGAGCCGGCGAGGCCTGCCTGCCCACCCTCACACGGCTTGTTTGCACAGAGCCTTTCCTTCAACTCAGTATTCTTTCTGTTATGTCACATTTACTTCTATGCTGGCTTCTCTGTAGATGATACATTTTTCATATAATAATAATAATAATAATAATAACCAAACCTGTGACCACTGATTGATTCTGACTCATGATGACCCCATTGTGCAGAGTAGAACTGCTCCATTTTCAAATCTGTTACCTTTTGGAAGCAAATTGCCAGGCCTTTCTTCTGAGGTGCCTCTGGGTGGGTTCAAACTGCCAACCTTCTTATGGTAGTCAAAAGCTTAACTGATTTCGCCATCCATTTATCAAACACAGGCTTCAGTAAAACCAGTTGCTGTCAAGTTGATTCCAACCCATGCTATGTGTGTTACAGTAGAACTGTGGCGCTTCTCACAGGGTTTTCAATGGCTTTCGTTTTGCAAGTAGATCAGAAGGCTCTCTGTGCAGGGTACCTCTGGGGACTTAAACCACCAACATTTTGGTCGGCAGCTGAACATGCTAACCATCTATACTATCCAGGGACTCTATAATAACAACAATAACAAAACCAAACACACGGCCATTTAGTTGGATCCGACTCATAGTGACCCCTCCTTGGTTTTCCGAGGTGGTATCACTATGGAAGTAGATTGCCCAACCTTCCTTCTGAGGAGTGGCTGGTGGGTTTGAACCGCCAGCCTTCTGGTTAACACTCTAATGCCTTACGTACTATTCCACCGGAGATTTTCAAAGTGTGGTCAAAGGGGTCCTGGGGGTCCTGAAGCTTTTTCACAGGGCCACAAGTTCCTCCATTTTCCAATTACGCATCTGGGAGAGGCTACATGTTTCAGCAGATGGAATGCAGGAGCAGCTATGGAACCAGCTGTCTTCTATTAAGCCAGACATTCCAGACATTTGCCAAAGCATAAAACAATGCCACTCTTCTCACTATTTTTTTTTTTTTTATTGTGATTTGGGTGAAAGTTTACAGAGCAAATTCAATTTCCACACAGCAGTTCATACATATTTTGTTTCATGACATTGATTGCTATCCCCATAATATAACAGTTCTCTTCCCACTTCCTCCCTGTGGTTACCTTTTCCCTGTGTCCTTCTTTCCTATGCATTAAGTGCCCTTTAAGCTGTCTCACTATTTTTTCTTTTTTAATTTTGAAAAATATGGTTATTTTTAATAAAAACATGTTTTATTTTGTTAACATGAAACGGATTTATTGATACTTTTAAATGACGCAACCAACACAACCACTGCCGTGGAGTTAGATCTGACTCTTAGCGACCCCTCCTTGGGTTTCCGAGGCAGTATCTCTATGGAAGTAGATTGCCCAACCTTCCTTCCGAGGAGTGGCTGGTGGGTTTGAACCGCCAGCCTTCTGGTTAGCAGTCAAACGCCTTGGGCACTATGCCACCAGAGCTCTCTTTTAAATAACAGAATAAATAATTTTTTTAAAATAACAGAATAATAAATAACAGAATAAATAAATTTAAAAAAAGGTTTTAGGCTTAATTTCTTAAAAAAAAAAAGAAAAGAAAAGAAAAGAAAAGAAGAAGAAGAAAAGCCACAGAATGGTCTGTTCAAGGCGAGGGGGAATTAGACTCCATCTTTTGAAGAGAATGTCAGTGAACTTGTGGACATGTTTTTAATCATCACAACTAATAAGTGGCAGAGCCAGACTTCAAACTCAGGCCCATCTGAACCCCATGCTCTTTCCATTGTTCAGCATAGCTCATCAGGTGTGCCCCTGTCTTCTATTTGCTATTTCCTCAAGTTTAGATTGAGAAGGCACTCAGTGGCTTTTGACTGAATGAGATTTGGAGAAGAAAAAAAACAAAAACTCTAGAGCTCATGCCATGATTCATGTTTTGAAAGATAATGTTAAAAATGAGTGTAATCATGAGCGCAGCAAAGTAGGCTTGGGAGAGACTTTGTCCTTTGGCTGCACCTTTCCTGGCACTGAGATGCTGCTTGCCCTTCCTAAGCCCAGTGTGTCCCCCTGCCTGGCCTGTGCTCCCATGCCCCGGTGCTGCACTGCCCATGGTCTGCCAAACAAATTCTAGACCTGTACGAGGCACATGTGCTCTCTGCTACTAGCATCTCTGTGGCACTGATCAGGGCAAAGTTATGATTCAGGTTCTCGTAAGGGCTTATGAATTTCACATAGGGGAAAACCGTCTTTCCAATTGCCTGGCTGAGAAAACACAAGCTCTTGGCCACAGCAGATTCTGAGAGAAAGAATAAGGATGTTTCAGGGAAAATCTGGAAAAGCAATTACAATCGCAAGATCATCTGACAGTTCAGTGGGCCTTGTTCTCACACATCCATTCATCCAGAATCCTTAATTGAGCACCTCTTTTTGCTAGGCTGAAGATTGTGGTTGTGCAGTGGTTAAAGCTCTTGGCTGCTAACTGAAATGTCAGTGGTTCTAATCCATGGGCGGCTCAGTGGGAGAAAGATGTGGCAGTCTGCTTCTGCAAAGATGTACAGCCTTGGGAACCCTATGGGGCAGTTCTACTCTGTCTTGTAGGATCTTTGTGAATCAGAATCAACTCGAGGGCAACAGGTTTGGTGTTTTGGGTATGTGCTAGGTAAGGAGTCCCTGGGTGGTACAAACAGTTGAGTGCTCAGGTACTAGCTGAAAGGTTGGTGGTTTGAATCCACCCAGAGGGACCTTGGAAGAAAGGCCTGGCACTCTGCTTCTGAAAGATGACAGCCATGGAAAACCCAATGGGGTGCACTTCTACCATGGCACACATTGGATTCCACAAGTCAGAATCAACTCAATGGCACTGGTTTTTGGTTTTATGGGCTAGATACATCTTGGGGCTCTCGTATTAGGCCTGTTACCAAAACATCTCTCAATTGTCAGAAGGGAGCCCCCAAATATCGCTCTTGGGTTGGTAACTGCCCTTGGTCTCACAGCCTGGGGAAGCTGAACACTTGGGTGCCTCATGCATACCCAGCACAATTACATTTTATAATCAAGAAACTCACACTTCCTTTGTGCAACTTGGGCTTTTTCAGGTTCAGAGGCAGGATACGGCTTCTATTCTGATTCTGGACTGCAGAGTAACAAATGTGAGAACTGTGGTGCTAAGATTCCTAACTCTCGAAGAGTCAGCAGTAAAGAACTGCCTAAAGGTAAGACACTTAGAGGCTTTAGAAAGAAGGTGTAAGTGGGAACAGCCATTGTTTCCAGGCAACAACTTGTGGCTTTTTATCTTTTAGTTTTAGAATTTCATTATAGATACAACACCCCAGTACAGAATTACTTAAATTATAGTGAAAGAGGTGCTTTTGTCCAGCTCTGCTTTTTAGACAAAAATAAAAGCTCTTCACCTTGAAAGGACATCTCCTGCATGACTGCATCTCCCAGACGTCATCAGGAGACCCACACTGCACTGGCCACTGCTTCCATTTGGGGACAGTCTTGCTCCTCAGATCGCCAGCAGTCACCTGCATGCTTCCACATCCAGCTCTACACCTGGATGGCAAGAGGCTGGGCTGCAGGTGGGAGATCTGAAATCCTAGTGAAGGACCCTGAAGTACTCATCATCGTTGCTGAATAAATGAGAGACAGACTGAATAATCCACTGTTAGTGCTCTGGTGGCATAGTGCCTAAGGCATTTGACTGCTAATCAGAAGTCTGGAGGTTCAAATCCACCAGCCCCTCCTCAGATGGAAGATTGGGCAATCTACTTCCGTACAGATACCACCTTGGAAACCCAAGGAGGGGTTGCTATGAGTCAAATTGACTCGACAGCAGTGAGTTTGTATTTTTGGTTTTTGTTGTTGTTGTTAAGTGCCGTTGAGTCGTTTCCGACTCATAGCGACCCCATGCACAGCAGAATGAAACACTGCCCGATCCCGTGCCAGCCCCACAATCCCTGCTATACTTGAGCCCATC